ATATTATTTTCCAAAATGGCAAAAGGAGGATTTTGTTTACTTTTGCATGGAAAACCAGTAAGTGATCTGAAAACATCTCTGTCAGTACTTAATAGCTAGAAAGATAATAGGTAGATATTAAAGTAAATGTAAAAATGGTTATAAATAATTACTTAGAGTCCGAGTCCACAGGTCACTAAATGTTAGCTTGAATATTTCTGAATGATCAACATCTTCTCATTTCAATGGTAAAATGAAAAATGATGGTAAACACATTATGAACTGTGTCAGATGAGACGATACTTAATATTGGTTTTGAAACTGAGGGTCACTTACTGTGTTTGGGTATAGTTGCATGCATACTATATGTAGTGGTGTGAAAAACATACCACTACCTTATTACAAAAGAAAGTAAGAGCAGGAGCTGAGAGCGATGTGGTTTTTTTTCCATAAAGAAATATAAATTCTTTGCTTTTTATAGCACTTTGCACTCAAGGGACTTTAATTCATCGCTTTATAGTTATAAATACACTAAACCACCCGCAGCCTGTCTGTGAAAAATACACTTGCTACAGATGAATGGAGTTGGGAGTTATCACACAGTAAACTGATATCAGAAAGGGAATAGAATAGAGGTGCAAATCTTAAACAAACAGCTTGTGGCAGAGAGAATAATGTCCCCAACAAAGCTTGCTTAACTCCTAATCCCCAGAACCTGTGAAGATGTGAGGTTGCATGATGAGGGAGAATTGAAGTTGTAGACAGAATTACTAGTATTGCTAATCGGCTGATTTTAAAATAGGGAAAGTATTTTGGATTATCCAGATGAGTTTACTACAATCACAGGGGTTTATAAAAGTAGAGAGGAAAGCAGGAAAGGAGGCCAGGGTGATGTGATGTGATGTGATGTGATGGGATGGGATGGGATGGGATGGGATGGGATGGGATTGATGGGATGGGATGTGATGGGATAGGACTGATGTGATGTGATGTGATGGGATTGATATGATGTGATGGGATGGGATTGATGTGATGTGATGTGATGTCATATCATGTCCTGTCATGTGAGAGAAGGGTGTGACCCACCGTTGTTGACTTTGAGGTGAGGAATGCAGTACCTCTAAAAGCTGGAAAAGACAAAAAACCAGATTCTCCCCGTAGAGCCTCCAGAAAGAAATGCAGCTCCAGAAAATAAAAGAACACCTTGATTTTAGCTCAGTGAGACCCATGTTGGATTTCTGACCTAGAACTGCAAGATAATAAAGTTGTAATGTTTGAAGCCACTGCATTTGTATTAATTTGTTTTAGCAGCATCGGGAACTAATTTATGGCGGCTTAATCAATGAGGAGCAAGTAATGCAAACACAGTCCTGGAAGACTAGAAATAACCAATTTAAACAAGCAAAAACTAACATTTAACTTGGAACAAAAGTTCATTTTTGAAGTACTAAAAGCAGAAGCACACGCATTCCTTGGCTTAAAGAAAAATGGAAAAGGAAATACATGCGAGGAATGTTTTTTTCATTTCCACTAGAATACTAGAAGAGAAAGGGGATGAATAAAAAGAACATACTGATCTACAATATGGAGTAAGAGTTTGAAAAGTACCAATTGGAATAGGCTTCTAGGAGTTACGGGATCTTTGTCCCTAGGTTCTTTGAGATGCACAGTGACCTATTTTATCTGCCTTAAATTACTTAAAGAGCTACTTGCCTGATGACAAGAGTTAGATTAAACCATCTCTCATGTCCTCCTCCAGCCTAAATATTCTCTACAGACCGAAGTCTATTCAATTCTGTGGCACAAATATTTAGTGCCAATTTACTCAATGTAAATTATCTTGATACGAATAACCAAAGAATAAGACATAAGTTGGCCTTTAAGAAGTTTTCAGTATTATAGTTAACCAAGGTAAATAACCAAGCATATTCAAGCTAGACCAAAGGAACCATAAGGCATAGATAGGTGATACATTGATAAAAACCCATTAGATATACAAAAATCAATGCATTCTTATTGGCCTAAAAAAACAAAAACCAAACAAACACTGATCTGATCATCTCTGGAAATAAGCAGGACACCAACTTTTAACAGTGAAAATTTATGGCAAAAACCGCAATAACTTTTGCACCAATATAATAAAACCTATATATGGGAAATAAAATAGCAGATGAGAGAAATGTCTTCTTTATCATTGGCTAAAATAGGCAGAAAGAACAACAGAATGAGAAAATTGCTATTTTGTAACTCCTGAATAAAATAATCGATATGGGCAATGATCATTAAAAGATGCAAAAACATTAGGTAAAAATTTGATGGAGAATTTTATTGTGAGAGACCAGGCTGAGACCACCTAAACACATCACTCTTGGGATTACTAAATGGGACAGGCAGCCACTATGCACCCTTTTTGTGAGTCATTAGGAAATACATTTCTCCCTTCCCCCAAATTCAAAGCTAATACGGCCTCTAGATCTAATTACATCTTCATAGGAACCACAGGGGACAGAGGAGCCAGCTCAAAAAATACAGAAAGGAAGCAACCAGTTCCGTATTCTGTCACATAGAATATGGACATTCCCTGTGATAAATGACCCAGTTTCTCTAGAAGTCAATGACATTGAAAAAGAGAAGGTAAGAGGATTGTCACAGAATAAAAGACACTTAAAAGGCATAATCAAATGTGTCATATAGGCCTGTTTGGATCCTGATTCACACAAACCAACTCTAAAAAGACATTTTAAGATCACCAGAGAAATTTACATATGGACTAGGGTATAAGACGATATTACGGCACTATTGTTAGAATGTGATAAAGGCATAGTGTTATTAAGAATATTTCTTATGTGTTAGAGATGCATACTGAAACATTTTTAGATAAAGAAATGTGATACTGCGGCCGGGCGCAGTGGCTCAAGCCTGTAATCCCAGCACTTTGGGAGGCAGAGGCAGGCGGATCACGAGGTCAAGAGATCGAGACCATCCTGGTCAACATGGTGAAACCCCGTCTCTACTAAAAAACACAAAAAATTAGCTGGACATGGTGGCACGTGCCTGTAATCCCAGCTACTCAGGAGCTGAGGCAGGAGAATTGCCTGAACCCAGGAGGCGGAGGTTGCGGTGAGCCGAGATCGCGCCATTGCACTCCAGCCTGGGTAACAAGAGCGAAACTCCGTCTCAAAAAAAAAAAAAAAAAAAAAAAAAAGAAATGTGATACCTGGTTATGCATTAAATACTGGTTATGTAATGAATATAGTATGTATGAAAGAATACACAGAACAAGATTTGCAGAACAGTGATACATATTCAAGCTGCATGCTGAGATATGAAGGCTCATTTTAATACTCTTTCCTTAGTTGCCTGAAATTTCCCATAATAAAAAAACTTTAAAGAATGAACACAATAATAAATAAAAGTCTCCCTAGTCCATTTAATCAACTTTCATAATCGAAACAGTGAAAGGTTAAAACATTTGTGCAACAAACTTTCTGTAGTTTTCCGAACATATTTTTTTTATCAGTGATAATTTGACTATTACTTTAAGACTGAACACTTTTCACCTCATATGGAAAAAGAGCTTACAACTAACCAAATTTTCAACTTATATAACAAAAAACTATCATAAATTAAATATTACTCCTAATGCTCCCTGATAAAAAAGGGGTAATAGGCATCTGTTTCTATTTGTGTGGGGGCAAACAGCTTCCAGTCACTTTTTATAGTAAAGAGTGAATAGAGTGAAGACTTCTTTGTGGTTTTTGTGGTCAAGATTAGTGTTATTACATTTGTCAGAAATGCTTAATTCTCAGGTTTTTGGTAACCAACTAGTAGGCTGGCTTTAAAGTGATCGTCTTTTGTAAAATCTAGTCTAGACGCTTAATTAGCAATATTATTCTGTTGCCTGATTTTGAAGTCCAACTGAGTCTTCTCTGTGAGAAACAAGAGGCTACAGAACAAAAAGATTCATCTTCAGCATTCCCTGCAGATTATCAGAGCTGATATAAAGTAATTGAACGTATAGGGTAACACTTCTGAAACTCACAGGAAAGCTCCTAAGCAATAGTCTCAGATGGGAAACAAAATATAAACCTCATATTAGACTATTCAGAAAGCCTTTAAAAGTATTCACAAACAATAGAGGATCCTTTTCAAAATGATTTATTTATTTATTTTTGAGACAGAGTCTCACTCTGTTGCCCAAACTGGAGTGCACTGTTCGTATCACGGCTCGCTGCAGCCTCAGCCTCCGTGGACTGTGGCCTCACAAGTAGCTGGGACTACAAGGCGTGAACCAGCATGCCTAGCTTCGCATTTTTTGTAGAAAGGGGATTTCGTCACGTTGCCCAGGCTGGTCTAGAATTCCTGAGCTCAAGTGATCCACCCACCTCAGCCTCCCAAAGTACTGTGATGACAGATGTGAGCCACTGTGCCCAGCTTTAAAAAAAAAAATTATTCATAAATGGTTTTATTTGCAAATAATTTTTCTGGAGAAGACTCAAAAGTGACCCACATCCTCAATTTACATTTTAACATGATTTAAAACATTTCTGAAGAAATATAAAATTATATAATACGAAAACTTTAATCTTTTTCTTTGAAATACTGTTTTAAAAATATAAAACATTTCCTTTTTTAAAAATGTAGCTTTTCATTAAAAAGACACTTAAAACACTGGAGTTGTAATCTATCAAAAGATGGTAAGATACAGCAGGAAGGAAAACTAGTACATGTAAAATATGTTACAGAGATTTAATCCCAGACATTTCAGCTATTTTTTTCTTATGAATTTTTAAGTTATATGACCAGGGTCAATGAAGAGGACTATTTCTGGATGAAATAATTTTTTAATGTAAAGAATTATGCAGTGAGTTGCAACACTTATGAAGATGACTTGTAATCCTGCCATTTGATTAAGCTAAGGATGTAGAAGAAATAGTTCTTGACATCAAGATTTGTAGATCACGTTCCACACACCACCTCTGACCTCCTTTCCTTCCCAGCCCGATACCCAAACACCTTACCAACTACGGCCTCTGTGAATTTTCCTTCAGCGGGAAGAGGGAAGTACTGGTTTGGTGATACATTGCTGCCGTATCCCAGGAGAAGACCTTCAAGCTTTACATTGGGACTTGGACGCAGGAACTTCAGGAAGATGGAGTCACTCGTGGTATTGATGTGGACTTTCAGGCTGGGCCTTTTACCTAGCGATGGGAATGAAAACATCGATGGCTGTTACTTCCCCTTTTTATCATCCTACCCAAATTCCCAGCAGGTGTGGGAGGCTAGAGCATTTTTCTTGGAAACCATGTTGTCTGATTCACTACTCAGTATCACAGCACACACTCCCAAATGCCTCAAAGGAAGCTTAACAACATAGAGCAGCCTAGAATAAAAAATGTACCTTACAGTTCAATACTTAGTAGTGTGTCTTTGGGCAGGTAGATGGGATTTGGACTATTTTGGCTATTCAAAGTTGGTCAGAACCTTTGCTTTCTACACACTGTCTGGGTATGGTGAAAGAACCTGAATTTTCTCATTGCTAAAACTAAATTACTACAGCACAAAAGCACCCAGTCTCCTCTATGAGGATTTCCAGTGCCACACCCACAGGTCTTAGTCATAGACAGAGTTGGGAAGGGAGAGAAGAAAAAACGGTTTTTGTCTTAGGGGTAACTGAATAGTAGAATAGGGAATGCTGGAAGACAGAAAATGGTTGAGGAGAAAAATGATTGGTTCCATTGGGAGTACATCTGGAGGTACATGGAGATGTCCAGTAGTGAGTGGGATTTCTAAGTGTGATACTCAGGATGGGGGTGCAGACCCATCTGGGTGTCATTAACTTATAAATGATCATTGTATGAACTTTCCCAGAGAGACCGTCAAGGATGAGAAAAGAGACCCTAATCAAATTCTCAAGACTTTTTTTTTTAAGTGCTAAGGCAACAGAGGCAAATAATCACACTAACCAAAGGTCTTGACCCAGTGGTGAGGAAACACTGTCTTTTGCCTTTGGAGCCAGAAGGAACCTGGTTCAAACCCCACTTCTGTGACTCTGACAATGCACTAAAGATATTCCTACCTTATATTCCTGGTTTCTACATAATATATAACATTTACCGTCTTGCTGAGTTATTTACAAAGGTTAGTGTATTAGTCTGTTACACTGCTATAAAGAAATATCTGAAACTGGGTAATTTGTAAAGAAAAGAGGTTTAATTGGCTCAAGATTCCTAAGGTTGTACGGGAAGCATGGCAAGGGAGGCTGCAGGAAAGTTTCATGGCAGAAGGCAAAAGGAAAGCAGGAAAGCCTTACATGGCCAGAGCAGGAGGACCGGAGAGAAGGGGAAGGTGTCACACACTGTTAAACAACCAGATCTTGTGAGAACTCCATCACAAGACAGCACTAGGGAGAGAGTGCTAAACCATTAGAAACCACTCTTGTGATCCAATCACCTCCCACCAGGCTGACCTCCAACATCGGGGATTACAACTCAACATGAGATTTGAGTGGGTACATACCGCCAAACCGTCTCAGTCAGTTAATGTCAATGGCACTACCTTAAAGCTGGCACATAGTAATTGCTCAACAAGTGATTAGTAATACAGGTCCACGATCCTTTACCCATGATTCAGAAATCAAAAAACTTTGTAGTTTTTTTTTTTTTTTTTTCCTTTTGTAAATTTGTCTCAAACTCATCTGGCTACACATCCCAGTTAGAACCATCCTGGGGCTATTCAATCTTTCTTTCATCCACTAGGGTGACTATTCATGTGTTTCATTGGAGAAATGTGTTCAGTTAAATGGTGTTGATCAAGAGCCCATTAAAGAAGTTACGTAGCCGGGTGTGGTGGCTCAAGCCTGTAATCCCAGCACTTTGGGAGGCCGAGGCGGGTGGATCATGAGGTCAAGAGATCGAGACCATCCTGGTCAACAGGGTGAAACCCCGTCTCTACTAAAAATACAAAAAATTAGCTGGGCGTGGTGGCGCGTGCCTGTAATCCTAGCTACTCAGGAGGCTGAGGCAGGAGAATTGCCTGAACCCAGGAGGCAGAGGTTGCGGTGAGCCGAGATCGTGCCATTGCACTTGAGCCTGGGTAACAAGAGCGAAACTCTGTCTCAAAAAAAAAAAAAAAAAAAAAAGTTACAGTAATATGTAGTCTTGGCATCCTAGTTCTCTCCAAATTTCTGAATTCCAAAACATGTCTGGCCCCAGGGGTATTAGATAAAGGATTGTGAACCTGAATTATGTTATTTCTTTATTCCCCAAAGATTTAATATTTAAAAAATATTTTGACTATTGGAAAGACTGCATTTACCAACTTAATAATTCACATTCTATTTCTCATTAATCAAAGACTTAAATTGTACCAATACAAAGACTTACATTGTATAAAATACATCACTTTTGTACGGCATGTGCTCCCCAACATCATCACACTGAATTTATTCTACACCAGCCAAAATCAGCCTGCACAACTTCAACATAACCACAGAAAATGATTCAATCAGGCCTTTGGAAAAAGAAACATACCCTTTCTTGGATGCCAGGTTGTGGGGATTATTCATACCTCAACAGCTAAGATTATAGTTTCCATGTATGTGCATAGTACTTTTGACTTTCCAAGAACTTGATGAAATTTTTATAAACTTTCTGAACCTCAGACTGCTATTGTTACATTGTAGCAAAATTAAAACCCAGAGGTACTGAGTGGCCATCTGAAACCTGAAAAGGGACCCTTCAAATCATCTAGTACGATTCCTCCCAATGAGGAAACTGAGGCACCCAGCAGGTTAAAAGTAGGGTCAACACTAGATCCTGGGTTCTCACTGGGCTGCACTGTGCTGCTCTCCTCATTGAGAACTTTGTAATTGTCCAGAAGGGGAAGGCGTAGCCACACCACAGATCGTAATGCTCAAGTTGGTGCCAACTGCTAGTGTTTTGTGTGAACTTCGCCAGGTTTTGATAAGATGATCTATACTTCAAATAAAACACCAATTTTGTCAAAGCCAATTTTTTTCACTTGTTAATAATTTGCCCAGATTAACTCTAGAGTTACTTGATCCTGCTCAATAAAATGGAACCAATGTAAATCAAACACATATTCTGCTACTCTAGAAGGCTATCAAGTCTCACAACGAATCCAAGCACAGCCAGCTTATTTCCAACACTTAGTTGGGAAGGAGCATTTAACAGATCTTAGTGCACTTAGGATGCATTCGTATTTGGCAGGAGCCAAGAATCACAGGATCATCATCACGTTAGACCTCTGCTCATGGATTTTGGTCCAATGAACCACATTATTTCTCCCCTGGGAAAGTGGAAAGCATGGCTGCCTTAAATGAGAACAAGAAAGGCTGTCCCATTTTTCCAAACGAAGTGGAGGTAATCCACCTCCTGTGCACAGGATTTTTTCTTGACTCCAGTCTCTCTCCCTTTTGCTAACAACGTATATCCACAAATATATCAACATTTTATAACTATTCTAATGAATTGGCATTTAGCTATTCTACTTTTTCTAAAATTCCATTCATACTACTCTCTGGAGCTAAACTTAAAATGCTCTGAAAAAAAAAAAAAAATACACACAGACAAATCTCATCTCAATTCAGCATCACAAACTTAAATTTAAGACCATTATCTGAGTTTCTTTTTTTTAGAGATAGTAACTCAAATGTCCTCATTATCTTACCACACATTGCTTCTTCGCTTATTACTTTTCAACACTTCTCATTTGTTTTTGACTTTTATAATCCTCTCACTTTCTGCAATGCAGATGAGGCTCTGGCCCTCTTTGCTCAGTTGTCCACCCAGTGTGGATTCCCTCTGTCTTTGGTTTGCCTTCTCTGCATGCCGTGACTCACTCAGTTATTACCAAATTGACCCTTTCGGTGTAGCAAAAAGGTTAAGCAAGTTGTTTTTTTTCCTTCAGTATAAGTAAGTCCAAGTGTTTCCTTGAATGACTGTTTAGATGAGTATTCGATGACATTTACACTCTGGGACAATTTCTCCAATAATTTGGGTTACGTCTATGTATATTCTACACTAACATTTAATCTTTGATAATACATTTGTTTTCAGTGTGAGTAATTCTGGTTTAATAGTTTGGAATACCAGACATATAACGACAGTTATCTTTCAACAGTTAGTATAAAGACCTCTGGTGGTGCCATAAGGTAGAGACTGTAGAAAATAATTCCACATGATGCAAGCTTAATTAGTATAACATCTATAAGTAAAATGGTATAAATGTCACCAGAAGAGCTCAGGAATACAGAGAAATAAAAGGAATAGAAGAACCTTTTATTGCACCTTATATGAGGAAGAAAGCATATGTCAACAGGGTAAGAAAAAACAAAAAAAGAATGTGAACATTTTGAGAAAGTAACACCAGTAGGCCTTAGACAAAAATAGCATATTTGCAAAGTAGAATCTTGTATCTACAGTGGTGGTTTCTAATCCTCTGTTTGCAACATCTTAGAGAATCTGTTAATTTTTCAAAGAGCATTATGAAATTCTTTTAAAAAAAGTCTTTCTCAGAAATGACAAAGGTGACATTACCACCAACCCCACAGAAATACAAAAACCCTAAGGGACTATTACAAATACCTCTATGCACACAAACCTAGAAGAGACGGATAAACTCCTGGAATGATATAACCTCTGAAGACTTGAACCAGGAAGAAATAGAAATCCAGAATAGATTAATGAGTTCCAAAACGGAATCAGTATCAAAACGCCTACCAACCTGAAAAGGCCCTGGGCCAGAGAAATTCACAGCCAAATTCAACCTATAAAGAAGAGCCGGTACCAATCCTACTGAAATTATTTCCAAAAAAATTGAGGAGGAGGGTCTCCTCCATAACTCATTCTATGAGGCTAGCATCATTCTAAACCTGGGAGAGACAAAATGAAAAATGAAAACTTCAGGCCAATATCCCTGATGAACATAGATGCAAAAATCCTCATCAAAATACTAGCAAATCAATACAGCTGCACATCAGAAAGCTAATTAGCCATGATGAAGTAGGCTTTATTTCTGAGATGTAAGGTTGGCTTAACATATGCAAATTAATAAAGATGATTCATCACCTAAACAGAACTAAAAACAAAAACTGCACGATCATCTCAATAGATGCAGAAAAGGCTTTTGATATAAAATTAACATCTCTCCATGTTAAAAATCCTCAACCAACTAGGCA